GGTCTGGTGGTATTATTGTTGCTGTTGTTGTTGATGTGCGATTAGGACAGACTAACCAGTGCATTAAGTAGTATTCGTTCATGGTCTACTAGGTCATTGTTCCGGTTATAACAAGGACATCCAGGGGAAGTTCGTGTTGGTTATGTAGATTGAAGCAAATGATAAACATCGTTACATCGGTAAGAATGAAAATCATCTGAATAGGTTCGTGTAAGCCTAGGTTCAGATAGAAACATCTCCCGAAGTTTGGAATGGGTTTACAATTTGAAGACTATGAGTTAAAGATCAGTTCCTTACGGCGATCTCCCTCTGTGGCCAAGTGAACGATGACACCCACACCCGTGTCAACCAGACACCAAGTTTCCTCAGTGTACAATAAGCAGCTACCACCACCAGCTACGGTCTTCGTATCCTTGTTAAAACTGTAGGGTTTCCGGCAACACTTTGATTTTTGGCCGTAGATTTTATAGTACCAGCACCAATATGCGTGTGTATGTGTGGTTTAAATTTCGAATTAGCTGCTACTTTGATGTTTGGAGGACTGAGGGGGCTAGCTGATTCAAGGAGTCGTTAAACGGAATCGTTTCAGAATCAGCATTTGAGGATCTTGTACCGATAAAAAAACTTCAGTTACTGGCAGTAATGATATTTTCAGAAGAAGAACGTAAAGGATGTCAACAATTACTGGTGAAACGATGATATGATAGTACACTTATTTGTCTTCTACTCCAAAATGTACTTACTTGAAGTAACTAAATAACAGTTAGTTGGCCAGTTCCAAAAATCAATTAGATTCCCAAAATAGGAAGCATATTTTGGGGTCAATAGTACAGGACGCAATAAGTGTTTGACTAACTAGGGTTTGTGCCAAATGGCGTGGGCGCTGCACGAAGTATCTTCAGATAAACCAGTGGATGTAAACAGTAGGTTAAGGGGTAATGAAAAATGTTGGCATTATTTTAGAGAATTACTTGCCTCCACTACTTTCTCCATTCTTCCCCCTTCAGTCTTTTACTGTCAACTTTCATTTCTGCATTCTGGGTTCTATAGTATACTAAGATGTTTCAGAGGGTTTACCGAATTATTTTCACTTATAGTTTCAGAAATACTGGGTTAGAAGAATGCCTGTGAAATTCCTTGACTGAAGCTATTTTTAAGCAAATTTTCCGCTCTTTAATTTCACTGGAAAATTAGCTAGCCTATTCACGAAATTCAGAATACACAGTAACCAGTATCCAAAATAACAGACATACAAATCATTTTGAAGGACTGGAAAACCTTCTGCATAAAACCTTCAAGATTAGAAAAGTACACTGCTGCTTTGCGTTATGTGTTTTATTCACAAGACAAGACTAATACAGCCCGAGAAGATGCTTCTGCTTGTGTATCAAATAAAATTGTAAATCTTTATTGACAGAATAGTAATTTCAAATTAAAGCTGGTTAAGCACAAACTGAAACGATCATCAGAACCATCTCCCGATAGAGTATATTGCTGAAGAAACTAGGTAAGCAAAAAAGAAAGGCGGAGAAAAATCATTTAAGTATACACTACTGACATACTAAGCTAATGTGCTTACACTCATTGCATGGATTGTTTGTGTCAACTCTGTATATGTTAAACTTTCCCGTTTTAGGTACTGGTATAAACCTCACTACTATCAACCTGACTTATACCATATTTTCCGAGTACCTGAAGAATATATGCTTTGTTATTAAGGTATGTAACTGCATGAAGTGAGATACTTTGGCATTTCCCTACGTACACTGCATACTTCTTTGTGAAACATAGTAATACTCTGATAAAGCTATTAGCATTAAATAGCGAAACGTCAGTAAAAAAATTTCTTTTTGTTTTTCATTCATTGGAAAATACAAAAACCTTTATTATAATAGTAATGCGATGTTCATCAGATTTTGCTGGTTTACTCTTATTTTGATAAATAAATCCATTTCAAGGGTCCTACATCAATTCAGGGCATAATACAGAAATAGCCGTTGCTGCGAAATGGCTAAATGTCATTTTAGGAAATTCCTGAGTAAGATCATGAAATTAATAGTTTATCGAACTTCAACATGCTTAGATGAAATAGGTGAGGAAGTTTTTCAGAAATGGATGGTACAATGAAAGGTGTTTTAGATCCAATACGCTAATTTTTCTACTTCATTATTATTACTATTACTATTGCTATTATTTTTTTTGCTAATATACTCGATCCCTACGTAACTAAGTTTTCTTACGTAATCATTAACAAAATGATTCAAAAATTCCACTTATCATGACTATCTTAGAACTAATGATTATACGACTACCTGCTGTTAAATTCTACGAATTAAGTGAATTATTGCATCAGGTCCTGTCGTCCTCTTAGTATATTATCTTGATTCATTTATTCATTTCCTCCCCAGTCATACATCAAAGGAGATATTTCTCACTAAATGTGATAATTCTTTGTGCAACCGATGCACACTAGATTGTGTGTACCTGTAAGAAGTAACATGTTTGAAAGATTTTAATGCATTACCTTTCCAAAAAATGTTTTTATATTAGTGTATGTCTGAGCATGTATCGAAAGACAAAACCAAGGATACACCATTAAAACTTGCTGTGTAATTATTAGTGGATTCATGAGATTTTGTATTTAAACAGAGTAAGAATTTGAATGTTACGCCTTCTAAACAAGTGGCAGCGATATTAATTCTAAACTTGTAATCTGAGTTGATTGTGCGTCGGTGGCATAGCGGTTAGGACGCTGGCCGACCACGCACATGGTCCGGGGCTCGATCCCCGGCCGACGCACTCCTTTACCTCACTAAGCCAGAAATAATTCTGGTGAAGGGGAAAGGTTGGGCATGAGGATAGCAACCCCATCCTGTAAAATAAGCACTGCTACAGAAACTTCAAGCCTGTAGCTTGAAGCCCTATGTCCCACTGGGGAACGTGAAGGTTAAAAAAAATCTGAGTTGATTACCTTGTAGTGGACCTAGGAACTACGTATGACTATACACGCAATTAAAAAGGACAGAACAAATACTAACAAATATGTACATATAAGATATTCAGTTCACTCAAGTTAGTATACACAAAAATACTGAAGTTATTTGAAAAAAACTATAATAGTCACAAAATACTCAAAATATAGACGTACGAAATAATAGGGGTGAAATTGTCCTTTTCTTGATTATGCAAATCCTCAACTACACCTTAGAGCTGTCAACCGTCGGAGATCTCCCGCGTAGAGAAAAGCAGGTTGGAGCAAAATATCTTAATGTGGATGTGTCGATCAGAGCGAGACAGAGTTGGTCGGCAGATGTGATGAGCGAGGAGCTGGAGAGAGAGAGAGAGACAGATTCGTTCGTTGCGCGCGGTCCAAGGTTGAGTCCTTTTCAATCTCACATAACAACCACGTTTTTCATTGGATTCCTTATTTTTCGGTGAACATATAAATTGATATGTTTTTCGACCGCCACAACCTTTATAAGTATTTCATTTTGGTCTTTGCATGTTCACTGATGTAAAAGATAGTATCTCCCATTTTGACTTGTCATATGTAGGTGGAAACGTGCCTTAAACACCACCCTTGTTAAAAACCATAATTTGACGTGTAGTGTGTCATAATTTTTGTCGTACAAGGACACTCACCCCACGGATGAGTATGTAAGTTATTGCTAAAATAAACTTACCTCCATTTCTTTTCTACCTACTTGAATGGATAGAGCATAGGCATTCAGTGACGATTTGAATTTCATCAGGCAGTTGGTGTTATGGAATTTGTATTGTGAGTTTAAAGAAATGCTGTAATTATATCAGATGTTATGTTTGTCTGTTTTAAAGGTGTTTTTTCGAATTTTTACGCAGCTGAAATATCTGTTTTGACATTTTCTGTATTATGAGTGAAAACGCCCTGAGATTCCTTTCATCCTCATCCTCAGTACACGTAGTAGAATAATTTGAAGTTGTGTAAATAAAAACAAATATTTCAGTATTTAACTAGTAAAATAGTCAGTTCGTAAACGTCATGTATGCTCCCGAAATTCTTCCGGTTGAATCTGTTAAAGAGTTAATAATTAGCAATTGACAGTTAAGCATCATGCATCGTTTTTATTCCTTTACGTTCCCAGTGGAACATAGGGCTTCAAGCTACAGGCTTGAAGTTTCTGTAGCAGTGGTGTTTATTTGTTTACGGGATGGGGTTGCTAGCCTCATGCCCAACCTTCCCTCTTTTTCAGTCTTGCTACTGGCCTAGAGAGGTATAGGAGTGCATTGGCCGGGGATCGAACCTCGGACCACCTTCGTGGCCGGCGATAACTCTACCTCTGTGCCACCAGATCACGCATCGGTGGCACAGTGGTTAGGACTCTCGCCGACCATGCACATGGTCCGGGGTTCGATCCCCTGCCGACGCACACCCGATATCTATGGTCGGCCTGCAAAATTTGGGCTACCGATATCCATGCTGAAAATGTCATACTTGTACTGAAAATACGGTGTGAAATCAAGCTGCTATCGAAAATAAAAAAAATAATAAAAATCTGACAGACTGTATTTCAGAAACATGTAGGTAAATGTGCGTATATATTAGATTTACGTGTTTACCTGCTTTAAACATTTTTCTTTTATCTATTCTGTTTTATCAAATACTCTTACGTCTTGGGTGCTTTTCATAAATGCTCAACATTGTTAGTTATATAGCTCTTATCATTCAGGTTACTTTATTCATTAGACTTCACAATGATTAACTTGTTCAAAAAACTTGTTTTTCACATATCTATTAAAAAGGATTCTTATAAGATTTCAAATGAACCTATGAGATTGGCTTAACTCAGTAGTATTAAGTGGTTGAGAGAAAAGTCTTTGTAAATATAAACACGCTGAGTAGGAAGAGACAGAATATTTACATTAGTGAAGTGTCCGATATATATATATATATATATATTGGTGTCCTGAGTTTGTGCTAGTTGAGATTATGTGTTTAGCACATAAATGTTCAGATTACCGTTATGATTGAAAGTAATGATTTCCGAAATTCAGAAAGTAAACTTGACACAACAGAAACCAGTCAATTTTCTATCAGTCTTGCTGAATTTTTCCACGTGGAAAGTATCCAACTAGCTGTATTTCTATTCGCTTTCATCCTTGTAATTGGCATTCTGTTGACCCTGTTGATTGGAATAATGATTATAATTTATTGGCGTAAAATGTTATCCTATGGAAAGCATTCAATGAAAGCGTTTACTAATACTAATACCGTTATTCTTAAAGATAATATTGTAAACAGTAAATTTGATGAGAAGGATATAAAACCATTGGAGTTCAATCAAGTCTACACAAGAAAAGGTATTCTAGAATTCAGTATAACGTATTGTACAAAATTGCATACACTGACAGTTGAAATTATTCGTTGCAGAGATTTACAATATCCACAAGAGTTACCTAACTATAATACACGTGTCACAATTACTTTAGCCTTTTGGGATGATACTCATTGGATTATATTAGATCATCAGCAAAGAAAAACAACCTACATTAATGGCTTGAATCCGGAATGGAATGAGAAATTTGATTTTGCCTTATTACAACCCCAGTTATTACAAACAAATCTAATTATTGAAGTGTATACATGCGATTCAATTGGTCAGGATACATGTGTTGGACGGTTAGATTTAGTATTAAAAGATATAGATTCAAATTTATTTATGAACAAAGTGTATACACTGTGTGAAGTGTTGAAAGTGTACACAGTTAACTTTTCAGATTTAGGTGAAATGTGCATTGGCTTACAGTATGAAAATTCACAATATTTGAAAATTCATGTCATTGAGATACGTAATCTAAATCTGAGCAAAATTCTTAATTCAGTCAATGCAAATGGGATTGATGTGACTGTATATGTGATATTAAGAGGAAAGATAATTAAAAATGAAGCTATCCCTTCACAAGGAGAATTAGGGAATTTATACTTTGATCGTACTGTTCTAGTGAATCTAAAGAAAGAGGATAGTTTAGAAGATGTACAAATTTATTTTCAACTACGTCATTTAAATCAACATGGTTTAAAACAAGTACTCGGTGAAATTAGTATCGGTTCAAAGTCAACACAGAATACAGGAATTAAGCATTGGTTAAATCTGTGCAAAAATCCATTAGAGGTGAATATAATGTGGCATATATGGAATCCAGTATCGTAATCTATGCTGAAGAAGCTGAGCAAACCTTCTTAATCAAGTGAAATGGGATAATGAATTGAATATTGGATTTTAGTAGATCTTTTGTATATAGAACAAACTTTACTTCATTTCAACAATTGCGTTTAACCATTTACGATACATCAAAATGAAACTGCATACTGTCCTTATGATATTTACTTTGCATCTGCCACCGAGTTAATTTCTTTGAAGATAAAAAGTAAACTATGTAAGTCTTCTAAGCATGATTACAGATACTGATAAGCATTAGATGAAATGAGTAATAAACCCTGGTGAAAGTCTTGATCTCTGCTGATTGATACACATACTTTTATGTTGAAACTATAATTTCCTTCTGCTTTATCAAGTAATAACACACGGTGAAATATTGTTTATATGTTGTAACTGATGTGTTCATATTCAATGTTAAATATATTCATTTGTTTGGATGAAAAATTGATTGGTTTTTGGTAATAAGATCTTTAGCTACAATTCAGGTTAAATGAATAATGCAAAACTGTATCCATTCTGCTCTTGAGATGATAATTGTGAAAAATAAAATACCATTACTATAGATTTACTTGATCTGTCATATAGAAAGCTGTTTAGAATTTCATATACTTATCATAGTGGAATCATGGCATTCACCTACATTGACTGAACACTAGTGAGCCACTAGCGTAATGTATCTAGTCCTTTGTTTGGTGTAGACTGAAGTCTATCAGTCAAGTTTGCAATGTGGCCACCATTTCTGGGGGCTCGCCATCTCAGTACGTTTTAACTTGTTGATGTTAGGTGTTTGGAGGCAATCGGCTGGAAGCCTTGAACCTAGGTTTGGTGGTAGTTGGCGCTCACCAGTCAGCAAAGCGTATCTGTAACCTAGGCAAGGCTTCCTACAGATTGCTTCCAACCATCTGATATCAGCAATTCACCCAGTTTGTCCACTACAAACGATATAACTGATATACTATCATATCGACGCAAGAGCCTCTTTTATGTGAGGTCTTGGCTATAACTATTCCTTAATGAATTGACATAGCTCATAACAAAGTCAATTAAATTTCATTGTTTTTTAATTGATGCATATGATTCATAGGAATAGTTGTAATAGTGGGGCTGACCATAATAGATGAAATCAAAGAGATTCAGAAAAGACTTTAGGATTGATAGATTATTTTATTAAAGTGAAATTCACTGAACTAAGAAGAACTTCCCACCATTAGGCTTAGGTAGTTTCAGTTATCTGAGACAGTTTATTGATAAAGTAGAATCCATGAGTATTACAATAACACACCTAAAAATAATAAAATCTGTATTTTAGTCAACCCTTTAAATCACTAATTTATACCGAATAAAATAACATAATTCTGTTAATATTTGATATTTGTTCAAGGTGTTTTGTATTTCCGTTTGATTGATTTATGTCGCACCGAAATGGTCGGTCATTGTTGTCATGTTGGCTTTTTGTATGTGCACTTCCCTGACGTCTAGTTGTCAACATGATGTTATTATTTTAATTTGGGACTTGACAGCTGTATGTTTGGTGGACTTCATCTAAAATGAGTGAAGTTATCAACCTAGATATTATCTTGATTTTCTTTAAAGAAATTAATAATTACCTTCACCAATTTCCACAAAACAATATGATGGCGTAATTTACCTGAAACATGTAACATGTATTTAGGTAGCACATTTCGGAAATTCCTATCATACACCTACTTGTCATACGTATTTATACAAAAGACAACAGAGCATAAAAATATCACAATTATTATCAATATAGGTGAAAATGTTTACAGGTCATGATCATAGATAAGAGGTAGGAAAATGAGGTGAGGAAAAAGGTGGTTGAAAATATTATTAAGTAAAAGCAACCATGGTTCTAAAACTGGATTGTCAAGACGATTTCGGAGTAGTAATGAATAATGTTTGAACACATAAAACGGATTTAAGCCGTTTTATGCCTAAGACTTCAACGAAAAAGGACATACAAAATCTCATTATTAGAAAGCAACTGTCCAATGAAATTCATTCAACTCTACAGAATTGTCCAACAAAGGGCTCCTCTGATCCAGTCAGCTCCCAAAAAGGATGTTTATATTATCCTCACCGCTCAAGGGTGATAACTGAAGTCTGATCACTATATAAACGTCACAGGGCGGCACTTATTTGACCCTACTATGCAGCTAAACTCATTTTTACAAAGAAAACGAGATTTACTTAGACTTTTACATCCTAACAACATCTGGACAGTAGTGTCACATCCCAATGTATTTACCTATCAACCTGTATAGGTTGCATTCCAAATTGGCTGCAAGGACAAATAAAACCACTAGATAAAATGAATCCTGGAAATAATGGTCCAATATCATCATCATCATATACATGAATCACAAAAGTGATTTTGACAGTGTCTTTAAGCCCATATATAGAACAGGTTTGGGTCACATACTTAGACTCATTGAAGTCTTAGGCATAAAAGGGCTTAAATCCATTTTATGTGTTCAAACATTATTCATTACTATTCCGAAATCGTCTTGACAGTCCAGTTTTAGAACCATGGTTGCTTTTACTTAATAATATTTTCAACCACCTTTTTCCTCACCTCACTTTCCTACCTCTTATCTATGATCATGACCTGTAAACATTTTCACCTATATTGATAATAACTGTGATCCTTTATGCTCTGTTGTCTTTTGTATAAATACGTATGACAAGTAGGTGTATGATAGGAATTTCCGAAATGTGCTGCCTAAATACATGTTACATGTTTCAGGTAAATTACGCCATCATATTGTTTTGTGGAAATTGGTGAAGGTAATTATTAATTTCTGTAAATAAAATCAAGATAATATCTGAAGTGAAGTCCAGTGAACTGGGTGAGTTGTGTTTCACTTCACAATTTAGTCTAACTCTTCTTCAGGTACCTTTATAAACAATCTGTTACGTATGGATTTTCTATATACACAAAAAGCTGGTCAGGTAGGCTGCAGCATTGATTATCAATTAGGTGGTTGGATTGCTGTCGCTATATCCATAATAATTACAATAAAATTATAGTTTCTTACGCTTCTGTTTTCACTCAATTTAGGTCAGAGTTTTATTTTCTAATTTTTGTTCTTCACTATGATATAAATCACAAGAAGTAAATCTGTTGTAAAACCCGTGTGAAGTCTAAGTCTAAGTCAATCCGGGAAGTAATACTATTTTATGAAGCCATTTTATAGTTAAGTAATTTCCAGAGAGACGTATACTAACAAAGAATAGGTTGTTTCCGTGGTTTAGGGCTTAGCGTGATATTCACTTTATTTTAAGGTTCATTTGTAAATATTAATCGGAATAGACGAAAAAAAACATGGAAACGGTGGAATAAAGTCTTGACTGGCAGTTTAACTTACGTCGTGATCAGGCTTTCGTTGAAAATACGATAATACAGAAGTACAGCAAGACAGAACGGTCGATAGAGTTGCGACATATATATATATATATATATATAGTTATTTCTGAGCTTTGTAGAAACTTATATCTTACTGATTATTTTGTCATGTGTGTCGTGTTTTGAAACTTTTGAAATAATTCATTTGATTGTGAAAACTTTCCAGGATGTTTTAGCTCATTTGCAGATTAGTGAAAATAATATTGCACCTAATCATGGAAATTACCAATGCAAAATATGTGTTGAATCGATGTTGAAGCAAACAGATAATTTCTCATCAGGTTTTACAATTTTAGATTGAAACCATTTGGCGAAGGCATTTTATACAACCCTCTGAAGTGTATTAAACAAAAATTGTTTTATTCAATACCATTCAGTGAGTGTAGGGTCAAATACAAAGGTCATAATAATAGGCCAGGGTGAGTAGGAAAATAGCTAGGTTAGTAGGTTCCACTGACATAAGAAATTTTTAGGAGAAACTTAGCTGTAAATCTACGGATAGTCAGACACAACATTACAACAGAATGGAATGAAGTGACAGTTCCAAGAATTTATTATAGCAGGTTGGAAGGCACAGACTGATTTGCTAAATCGACTGGTAAAACATCCAACAAGAATGATTCAGCGATTGACTTAGATATCTGGATAAATCTGTTATCTGTATGACAAACAAAAGCGTAGTTGCAGAGTACATATGACTTCGCCGTAAGAAACAAACTTTCTTTAAAATGTCATTCACCTGGTAAAATTCCTTCACTATATTATCTATCTAATTAATAACTGATGTGGAGTTGTATGCTACCACAATGACCACATTTTTAACTAATGTTTTAGTTGGTGTAGATGTCTTGTCTTTGCATAAAGTTGTGGCTTTTGCCCTTAAGCTGTTCAAGACCATAAAGTTTTGAGGAATAAAAATTGGAAGCCATCTGAATAACCATAAATAAAGTGTATCGACGACTTAGTTCCGCTTCACGAGTGAAACTTATTTGTGTGCATTAGCTTTCAATTCTATATCAAAAGTTCTATTCTCCTTGTTTTTTTCGTGTAAAAGTTTTCTACTTTAACTAATTAAACGCTGATTAAATGAAATATGCTTTGGATTACAGAAACCGAAGAACTGCAAACTACAAAAGTGGTCATAAAAGGAAGATTTTCCATCTTCCAGTTGAAATGTCATAATAATGATAATAGATTCTCAATTGAGAGTGAGGCTATCTGAGATAACTTTGGGTTATTATTAAGGTTCTCTTGGGTTTCAAGTGGAACACAGGGATTCAGCAGCATATTCCATTTCTCTCTGTTTCCCCGCGGTCTTACTAGCTGGCTCTACGATTGCCCATTGGCTTTCATTTTCACTTCAGTCGACTTCCCCATGTCACTCACAGACTACCTACTCGTCATTTCCCGTTTGGGTTCTACTTAAGGACCTGGTTAATAGACTATTGTCGACAGAATTTTTATTGATTGAAGATGGAATAGAAATCCCTATTGTTTCAGGATTCAGACTAACGGCCTTTGAATTATTAATACGGCTGTCTACCAGCAAGACTACGAGATCCACCTACTAACGGTAATCAGTTATTTTACCATGAGTTCAACGTTTTGTTTCATTTATCAGCATTATATATTATTTTATTCCTTTGCGTTCCTAGGGGAACAAAGGGCTTCAACCTAGAGCTTTGAAGTTTCGGTAGCAGTGGTATTTTTTACGAGGGAGGATCGGACCACTAGTCTCACGCCCAACCTTCCCTCTTTGCCTGGGTTATTACCAGCTTAAAAAGGATTCGGGAGTGCATCGGCTGGGGATCGAACCCCGGACCACCTGAGTGGTTGGCAAGCATCTTACCTCTGCGCCACTGACGCATATTTGCAAGAATTTAATGAAGTTATTTTCCGGTACCTTATAAACTTGTTTCATTCATATATAATTGAAATTAAAAATGTCTATCGTTGATTGTTCCAATTTCTCAAATAAGTTTACTTTGTTTCATTGATAAAAACTAATTG